CAAAAAAAAAAAAAAAAAAAAAAGAGGGATTACTGCCCTTTCAAAATACGTCATTTGCCCTTCACAGAAAACAAATGTAGGGCAGTCTTGATGTCCCTGGTTGTAAGTCATATCTTCCAAAGGTGTGACATTCTTTTACATCATTGTAATTTTATCCATTATATGAACTGATTTAAAGTATAGCATGTACAGAAATGCGAGACTCTTTCTTCCAACGTGGCCCATTTGTATTAATGGACCAAGGTCATTTAAAACGCTGTGTCAATGAAAGGGAAGAGAAAGAATATTTCCATGTATGTTAAGTGAAGAGCAACATACATTACAGTTTCAATAAAGTAATGAGTTCGAATCATCTAAAAAACTCTGAGTCACTTTAGGGAGTCAATTGTCATACAAAGATCAAAATGTGTTCTTTATCATACTCAAGCAGAAATGATGATTGGGAGATTAAAGAGATTTTAGAGATGGCTGATTTTCAAATTAAATACTGAGAGATCTAGCTTTGAACCAAGGAAAGATGGAAATTTGGGGCTCCCAAATATTGATAAAAGTGTAGAAATAACATTTATTTGTGTTTGATTTACGGCACTTTTTTACTGAAAGAAAAGACTGTCTTGCCTTTTGCCAGATACTCGTCTAGGCTCTGGGGATAAAGTGAGGAAGAAGACACGTTTCTCAAAGCTTGCCTGGATGAGGGAGAAAATGCATGAGTAAATTAATGTACTATATGTTTGTAAGTAAATGATAAGATGAGTGTTATAAAATGATGTAGGATATAAAACTCCTGAGATGGGAAACTTAGAGTGTTTAAGGAACAAAAAAGAAGGCCTATGTATGTGTAGGGAGAATTATTCTTCAAGAGCATGACATCAGCGTAATTGTTAAATGAGCCTGTTGGATATCAAAATTGATTGTATTTCTACTTTTAACTTCGAACTAATTAGATCTTAGTTCACGCTAGAACTCTGCAAACTAAATGCCCATTCTCTGCCCCCAGTGTGTGCGTGTGTGTGTGTGTGTGTGTGTGTGTGTGTGTGTGTGTGTGTGTGTAGTGTAGTAGTAGTAGTAGTAGTAGTAGCTTCTTTATGTGGCGACTCACTGTTGACTTTCTTGCACTCCCTTCTTTGGCAAGGCTATTAGGATAGACTGTGGGACAGACTGCTCAATGTATATTCCTCTGCTTCACCGAACAGCTTTTATGCCCATAAGGTCCCCAGCTCCCTTCAGCCTTTTCTGTAGCCTGGAAATGTCCTTCTAACCCATTCTCTTCTGGTAGGTTGCATTCAGAGCCTTCTGTGATCTGGCTCCAAATGTTTCCAGAGCCATCTCTGCTACTAGCTTTTATGCCGCATATGAAAGAGCGTATGTTCCATCGGACATTTCCTGAGATGACCTTACACATTCAGAGCTCTGTTCCGCCCTTTCCTTCAATTTCAGTTTCTGCTATGATGCCATCATTTTTGTGAATCTTTTTCTGACTCTTCCAGTCAATATCACAGTATTAAGTACAGTGGAAGGCTAAAGTGTTTTATTTAAAGGCTGTAAGTTCTTTGAGGCCAAGAATCATTCCTATACAATCTCAAATACCCTAGTTACCAACAGCCTACCTTGATGTGGTAGGTGCCAGACAATGTGGTAGGTGCCAGAAATGCAAACCAGTGCAACCTCTTTGGAAGACAGTGTGGCGGTATCTGAAAGAACTAGAAATTGACCTTCCATATGACTCAGCAATTCCCCTATTGGGAATATACCTGGAGGAACTCAAATCATCCTACAAAAAGATCCTGCACATGTATGTTTGTTGCAGCTCTATTCACAATAGCAAAAACATGGACCAACCATGTTGCTCATCGAAGCTGGACTGGATAAAAAAAATGTGATACATATACACAGTGGGATATCATGCAGCCATAAAGAAGGACAAATATATGGACTTTGCAGCAACTTAGATGGATTTAGAGTCGATCATACTCAATGATCTATCACAGAAATAAAGAACAGAGTCCATATGTTCTCACTCATAAGTGGACCTTGAACAATTATAATATAAAGAAAGGGATTGGCAGTAGTGGAAACTGTCAGCAGAGAGGGGAGGTGGGGTGGGATTGGCAGTTGAGGGAAACTGCTAGGGGAGGGAGGGGCATGCCTCATCAACAAGGGTACCTGCATAATCAACGTTTGTATACCTAACCCTGGATTGTACCCCACATCTTTATAATTTAAAAAAATTATTCTGGCCTGCTTTCTTTAGTCTAATATCACACCATTTTCCAATATTAAACCAGTTCTCCAGTTTACACGTACCACTCACAAATCCGTAAAATGTTATTTCAGTCAATGACTCCAATATTTCAATTGTTTCCTATACCTTTCAGGATAAAAATCAAATTCCTTAGCTTAGTTTCACAATGCGAGTCTCCTGTAACTCAGAATCCGGATTCTGCCTGCCAGTCTTATCTGGCTTTCTCTCGCTCCACTTGTCCACGTGCAGTCTTCATTCCAATCCAAACCACTGAATTTACCCAAAAAATGCCCTACTATTTTTTTCCTTCATTCCTTTGCATATGCTTTTCCCTCTTTCTGGAAAGTTCTTTCCTTCCTTCTTCTACTAATTATTGCTTACCCTTTAGGACCCAGCACAAAGTCAGGGACACTGCAAAGCCCATTCTAAACCCAGGGGGGACTTAGATGCCCTCCATGGTAATTATGTGTGTGGAGTGGTTTGCTTGTGCGTATCTCCCACTACAAACAAGTTAGTAGATGTCATCAGAGATGATGTTTATAACTTATACCAATGGTGGGTCAAACTTGAGGCCGCATCTGAATCACTAGAGGGATTTTTAAAACACAGCTTGCTGGGCCCTAATCTGAGAGTCTCTCAGATAGTTATTTTGGGATGGGGCCCAAGAATTTGACCAGTTAACAGATCCCTAAGGACCACATTGTGAGAACCAGAGTTTGACATAATCGATTTTTGTGTTTGGCATATTTATTGAACAAAATCGAAGCTTGATAAATATTATAAATAACAAAAACATATTTATCATCTGAAATAAAAACACATTTGAGTTGGGTCTTCATTATATGACCTTCTTTGTGAGCACAGGTCCAATGGAGTCATTCATTTAAAGAAAACAGCATATTATTCGACCGAATAGGTACGATGCATCAGTTATTCTCAAATCTACACAGCTACTAGATTACCCCAAGGAAAGTTTTAGAATATGGACACCGGGCCACACCTCGATCAGCCTACTCAAACTCTGTGTGGGAGCCCATAGAACCTGTCTGTTTAGCCAACATGCCAGGTGACTTTCAGCCAGTTTGGCACCCACCTTGGTAGACCTAAGCAACCTTTTTAAGTCTATGCCTTCTTTATGTTAATTCAGTTCGTTTGACTATCTTCTCCAGTAAGTTTTCAACAAGCCTTTAGTTATGCATGGCATCTCAAATGAAAATACAAAAGAGAACACTTAGAACTTCTATACTGAATGCATAAACCCCAGACATTGTGCCCGAGAATGACGGCCCCTGGTTTGAAACATCACTAAAGGAGACGAATAGCTGAAGGTACTATTTACATTGATTGCCATATAACTCCTCTTGAAATACTCTTTCAGTTTTTATTATGAATTTCATACAGGTAATTTTAATTTCTTAAACTGTTGCCATAAAAAGGAATGTTACACCTTCAGGTAAGTTACACGGCTGGTGTGTCACTGAACAGGATGAATCACGCTGGTGCCTGTGATAGGACAGTGGTCTGGCATCCTGTCTCACAGGACAGTGTTTTTTCTGGAATACTGCCATATGTCAGCAGGCTCCAAATTGGTTAGGATTAGGTGTATCAATTCAGCAAAAGTAAGCCTCTTCAATCTTTTTACCGGAATGACAAGGCTAAGTCCCAGAAATAAAATATATTAAAAAATTGAATTCATCCACTTCCTTCTTAATCCAAAGGAAAATGGAGAGAGATGAGTGAATTTTTTAAAAAATTAATCCTGGTTCATTTTATTCAACTGGTATTGTCATTCAACAAATATTTCCGAGAACACGTTATATGCCAGAGAGTGTTGAGTTATTGTTGAAAGTGAAATTATATGTTAGCAGACATATACGTCTGCTGCTGTCTTCAGATCTGTTGCTGGTTTCAGATTCTTTGAAAATAGCAAAGGTAGGTTTGTCTCTAGGAAGAAAGTTGTTGTTTAAATGCCAAATACAGGTTTCTACTGTCATATGTGCTGATGTGTGAATTTACTTTTAGAAAAAGTGAATATTTACCATGATAGGATAAAGAAATAAAAAAAATAAAGAAAAAATAATGGAGAAATACAAAAGAGGGGAAAATAATCCAGGCCTGGTTGGTTCCTGTGTGACCTTTTAAAAATATAATCGTGTGGAACACATTGCAAAGAACAAAGGGAACCAAAGTTTTCCCAAATTCTTGTCTCTCAGAGATCTGTTGTCACATGCTCAGATTTTATTTCAAAGTGTAGGGAACTCCTGTGAGTTTTGGCAGCCAGATCTCTGGACCAGGTTTGTGGATTAGGTTGGGTAAATTGCAAAATAATACGACATTAGTATTTGAAAATACTATATGCTCCAGGGTAATGCACTCATTGTTGAGGAACTGATGCTTAGAGACATTAGTCCACTTCCCTGGTTTGTGTGTCTAGTTTGTGGCACAGTTATCATTTGAAATCAAGGTCCTCTGGGTCTCAGCAAGGAGTTTCTTCCGCTCTATCATGCCATCTTTAAAAACTGTCAATCGTTTAAATTATCTAAATTTTATTTGATTCTATGGGCAATGGTCATTGGTTATCAAGGGAGAAAAAAAGGGCGGAGGGAGAGATTATTCCTGGCTTAAAAGTCTCCTTCCAGAGCTGTCATTTTTGATCTTTGTAAATGCTCATCGACTTGACTAGTCCAGCCATGGACAATGCTGCCAGCCTCCCCAGATTATGGTGAAAGTGTCACTAAGACTCACCTCCAAAGCTGTCATGTTTTTCTGGTTTTCCACAGATAAGCGATTGGCTTCTCTGATTTTATCCATAGCTTCTCTCAACAGGTCCCAAGCGTCATCGAGTTTGTTTTTGTAGTCAGCTAGCTTCTCCCGAAGATCCTTCTCCATTTCTTCATTTTTCCCCCTGGACTCTCCAAACAGCTTCCTCACCTTCATTAGAAGGCCTTCTGCAGCTCTGCAATGACCCCAGCCCACCGACAGACAATAAGCCCGTGTCACTGACTCAGTGGTTATCGGTATTAGACTGTGTTGCAAAGAGATGCTGATATGAAACGGATAAAAAGTGAGGAAACAAGTAAAGCAGATTCACTATATCCCAAATCAAGCTGAAAGCTGGTTCCTGAGGATGTCAGATCATTTATAATTAAAATTAAAGCAATTATCATAATACTATAAGAAAGGGATTGGCAGTAGCGGGAAAACTATCAGGGAAAGGGGGGTGGGATTGGCAGTTGAGGGAAACTGCTAGGGGAGGGAGGGGCACACCTCATCCACAAGGGTACCTGCATAATCAATATTTGTATACCTAACCCTGAATTGTACCCCACATCTTTATAAATAAATAAACAAGCAAAAAACAAAAATAAATAAATAAAATTAAAGCAAAAAAGATAAAGAAATATTTTTCATTTATTAGTAAAATAATATCTGCAATTGATAAGGGTCTCATGTTATTCTCATAATCTGATGAAATGAGCTTTATGATTCACCTCACATAGTAAAACAAACAAAAAACATCCATCTATTTTACCAGAATGAGACATTTTCGGAATTCCTTTGAATGGAAGGAATGAATATTGACATGCTTGTTTAGAAACTGTGACTAGAACTCTAGGTTATTGCCATGATTGTGTAATATCATGGTTTTGATCTACTTTCCTTTTTTCTTCAAATGATTAATCTGGGAGTTTCTTGGGTTTAACTTACCTAGTTATCCTAAAGTGATAATATCTGAGCCCTTACAAAAGGCTAAATACTTAAAAAAGAAAAAAAAAAACCCAGCAGTTCTCTAACTAACATGCATTATAATCCTCTGAAGGACTTGTTAAAACACAAATTCCTGGGCCACATTCCCAAAGTTTTTGATTCAGTAGGTCTGGGATGGCAGTCTGATAATTTGTATTTCTGACAAGTTCTTAGGTGTTGCTGATATTGCTGATTTAGTGTATATTATTTAAGTATTGATAATGCTTTGAAGTTAGCTATGAACGGGAAAATATTTCTATTTTATTGAGTGTGTTATCATAAAAGATCATTACCATTAGTAAAATCACTATCATTTTGCTTAATCCTCAGATTCCCAACCTTTATTTCAAAGTACTAGGTATTTGTTACTTGATGATTTTCCCTTACAGCATTTCTTAAGATGATAAAAAGTATAGGATGACCTGGTAAAGTCATACTTTTATTTATCTGAAGGTATTTTCTTTAAAACAAAAAATATACTGATAGTTTTAAAGTCTCCAACACAGGTGATTAATAAAGCACACACATTAGTCTACTCATAGAAGGGATGACCGTAACAAAAAATCATTTACTCGATTATCTGCATATAGACGAGAACAGGTTTTTGATTCATTTGAGACAAAGATAAAATATAACTAAGTAGTAAATGAAAGTAAATTCATAGCAAACATCTCCAGGTCAGAGAAACAAAGTATCTTCTACTCACATGTATGGTGAAAATTTAGAAAACGATAAATTATTTGGAACGCTCAGTTTATCCAATGAACAATAGAGGGTCTACTCACACCAACTCATCTTCAGCCACCTCCTTCTGTGCATCTAGATTTTTCCTCCTCAGTTCTTGCATCATCTGATCAATCTCCTTCTGAAGCTCTTGCAGATTTCTCTCAAAGGCTTTTTCTTGGGTTCCTAGAGTTTCATTTAGTTTTATAGCTTTTTCATTTACAGCTGCAGGGGGTAAAACAAATTTTGCAAATTAGTAAACAAAAATGCCACATGCAAACCCAGCATTCAGCATCTGCTCATCGCCACCATCTCCAAATGAAATGTATTTAGCCATGGGTGTTCCTGCTGGGGAACAGAGAGGCAGTTAAGATAACTGTTAGTAACCAACAGGGAAATGTGACATATTTCTCCATCTTTATTTGGGGGGCACAGTAACTAAAGCATGGCGTTTCTCATTTCAAAAGGAAGAAACACAAAGAAGTGGATGAAACCATATTCAGGTAAAAGGTCAAAAAATGTGATGTATAGCATCACGCTTGCAGGATGAAAACACAAACTTCGCATGTTGATAAGACAGTCATTTTGAGTCCACTTGAAATACTGAGCATGGAAATACTCTCAGTGATGAAGTCTCTGAAAATGAACCTGCTGTTGCATTTTCACACAGTCCTTGTGTTCTTTTTTTTTTAAGGACTGAGGAAAGGAGCATGGGTCTAGGGACAAGGATTATAAATTAGGCTTCAACAATACCTTCCAGCAATAGCATCCATCCTAAAAGTCTGTGTTTATTATGCATTAAATGGGGTTTCAAACTGTGCTCTTTGGAATCTTAGGATTCCCCACGTGCTTCAGGTCCTCGACAAATGATATCTATTCTGCCAAGAATCTGCTTTATAGGTTGGTGTTCTGGGCGAGATTTCATTTGAAAAAAGAATTCTATGTCAAATAAAAGTTTGAAAAACTGGTGAATTGAAACATTTACACAGTTCTATTATTAGTTTTAGACGAAACTTTCCTGGAGTGTGTTCCATGGGACATTTATTTAGTGTGCTGAAGAGAGATGGTTTCTCAAATTCTTTTGTCAGTGGAATACTTATTTCTAAAATATGACCTATGAAAATGCCTAAAATGAGGGGTGTGGATTAGCCAAGAGGTATTTTTCTACATTCAAGAACATCTCTGAAGAACTCCTTAAGACACAGGAGAATTTTGAAAGTTAATTTCTATCCTTAGAGAGATTTTTCTGATTTGCAGTGGTCAGAGCTCCTGAAGCAGGTGCACATAGTCAGGGTAAGTAGAGCAGCCAGAGGAGAGTGTAAGATAGGGGATCGGCACAGTGGCTTGGAAATGTGGTCCCCAACAAGCAGCATCATCACCTTGACCTTTGACAGATGCAGCTTCTCAGGTCCTGCCACGGATCTACTGAGTCAGAAATTCTACGGGGTAGGGACCAGTAAACTGTTTTAACCAACCCTCCGGAGGGCTGATAAACACCCGAGTCTGAGAAACACTGGGTTGGAGGATGGATTCGAGCCTCAATATCTAAGCTACCTTTTCAGAATGTATCTTTATAGCTTTTCATGAAGCATGACTTTGGGATTTGCTACAGACTGAATGTATAAACATGACTTCCCCTCAAGTTCATATGTTGAAACCAAATTCCAATGTGATGGCATTTGGGAGTGGAGCTTTTGGGAGGTGATTAGGTCATAAGAATAAGATTAGTGCTCTTATAAATGAGATACCAGAGAACTCCCTTACCCCTTCTGACATGTGAGGTTATCAAGAGAAGACGGACATCTCCGAATTAGGAAGCAGCTTGTCAATAGACACCAAATCTTCCTAGCACCTTGATCTTGGATCTCTTAGCCTCCAGAAGTATGAGAAATACATTTATGTTGTTTATGAGTCACCCAGTCTTTGATATTTCTGTTACAGCACCTCAAATGGACTAAGAGAGTATAATTTGCAGAAAAATTTGAATCGTATGTTTTAAAGAACAAATAGTACCATTCCTAACTCTGTGGTGGAAACTGTCACTCAGGTGTTGTATTTTCTAGAAGTTAGTGAGGGTGGCTTGTTCTTGGTCCACTGCCTACTAGCTATACTCTTAACATTTGCCAAAGAACCTTCTCAAAATTCCACCATTTGGCTCTGTAATGTTTGTTATGAAATAACAGTGAACGCGGGCTAATTAACTTGAAAGCTCCCTGCTCCAGCAAACTATGTGGGAAGCATGCCAGACTGCCAATGATTAAATGTAAGAAGGTTTCTGCATCTTGGATTTCAAGAAAGCACTAGTAGATATGCCCATACCTACAGCACTGCCCTATCCTTTAGTCTGAGTGCATGCTGTCTGCCTAGTTGACTTTAGCCAATTGTAGCTTGTAAGTACCTACTGACATTTGTATTCACTTTTTAAAAATAAGTGATAAATCCCACTTCCCCTCCTGCCAAAGCTGGTTTTTATCTATCTATTTTACTAAATTAATATTATATATATATGAGATTTGATAAAAGATATCATCTGAAATTTGATTAACTTAGGTCTTGGATCTAGGCAGTATTAAGGAAGGGAGAAAAGAGAGATACAATCTCATTATTTCTCTCATGGTGTGTTCTCAAAGTTAAACTTTTGCAGAGAATAATTGGCGGGAAAAGAATGACATCAGAGGAGATAAGGCAAAGGCAAAGTTGGCCATATCTTTTGGAATTCATGCATCATTTCTTTTTAACTTAAAGTAATTTGTAAGCAACTGCAAGAAATTATTGGAGTATACAGAAACAGATTTATCAAAATAATCATGCGTGAAGAAAGAAAGCATCATTTTAATTGAAAGAGTTTGATTGTTCCACTGCTTATATGTGGGATGTGGAACTTCTTTGAGTATTTTTAAACTAAAGATGAGCATGCTTTTTAGTCTCTTGTTCAAAGTTATGCACTATCATTTTAATATGTTTTCTTCTCTACAGAATTGAAAATAATTGCAAAAAGTTTACCTTTGGAAGTTACTTATTTATTTCCACCTTATTTGAAAGGAGGATTTAGGTAATTAAAAATATCTTTAAAATGAGATAGAATTAACATGAAAGAAAATAGAGGTAAAGGTAAAAAATAAATGTAAATCAGGGCAAGAATTACAAGACAGAAAGGCATGTTATGTTCAGTTATGTTATGAAATGTTATGTTCAGTGCAGCGGGCCTTACATCTGGCTCTAGATATCTTAGTAGCCAATGCATAGCAGTGGATACAAAGCAGAGTCTTAAGAGGTATACAATATTTGCAAAATGGAAATAAATTAATTTCTCAGGAGAAGAAAAGCTGTTTTTCATACCAAGTCAGAAAAAAAAAATCCTCTGGTAGGTAAATTAATTAAGAATAGCAAATAACACTCTGATCTGAGAAACAGGAAAGAAGGGTGCCTAGTATTTATTAAGGCCTATTGTATGTCAAGACATAAACACTGATAGGCTTTTCTATGTCCACCCATTAATTCTAATAATGCATGGAATAAAATATAGCTTATTCATGATTGAATCAGCAGTCATTGCACAGTAGATATCATGAAATTATAGTGAGATAAGAATGCCTTAGATGAATAGAAGCAGATTATTTCTAAAGAGGCCATGGCTTATAATGGAAGATAGGATGAGTATCCCATCTATATAAACATAAATCTGAAATAGACAAATGTCAGACTGAAGCATTCATTTTTCCCACAGCAATTTATTTTATTTTATTTTTTATTTTTTTGATTTGGAGTCTCACTCTGTCGCCCAGACTGGAGTGCAGTGGCCGCTCCCGGCCACCGCAGCCTCGACCTGCTGGGCTCCGGCGATCCTTCCGCCTTAGCCTTCCGAGTACCCGGAATTACAGGCACGCGCTACCATGCCCGGCTGATTTTTTGATTTATTGTAGAGATGAGGTCTCGCTGCCCAGGAGGGTCTCGAACCCGCGGGCTCAGGTAATCCACTCACCTCAGCCTCCCAAAGGCACGGGATTCCAGGCTGAGCCACCGAGCCCGGCTTGCAATTTATTACAACTAATCAAATGTAAAAGTGCTGGAGATTAGTCCCCATTATTGTAGTTTTGGGGAAAAAAAGTGGTGAATACGTTGCATAACCTTTCTTGGTGAGTCCTTCCCTTCCTTTTCCTTCTTCCCTTCCTGTCTCTGTCTCCCTCCTTCCTTCCTTTCTCTCTCTCTGTCTGTCTGTCTTCTGTCTCTTCTTCCCTCAACTGCCAAGGCTTGCAGTACCCCTCAATGAGGATTTAGTGTTGCTCTGGTAAAGTACAATTCAATTTAAACTTTTCATTGAATTTTGCCCTTTGGATCAATCCTGTCAAATCGTGGCTGCTGGCAAAAGTGAGTTGTGTTCCTGTTTCCCTCAGGTACAGCTATCCCATACGGCACCTCACGTGAATTAGACCACCTAGTTGATGATACACAATTAGGGAATGAGATACCTTTGGTGATACGTAACTCCTTCTCTCATGGAGAGACCAGGGATTGTGGATGGTGTGCAAAGCTTGATAAATATTGTCTCTACTCTGCCCCCCTGCTGGTGCCTTTGTTTGGTGCATAAGCTGTGAAAATGGTACACAGAGGCCCTAGACACCCGGAAAACAAAAACAACAACAACAAAAACATATTGATCATATCGACCAAAGAGTTAGCCATGAGTATGTGTCTCTGTGGTGGGAGATGGAGAACTAACTGTAGAGAAAAAAGTAAGCAGTGCTGATACTCGAGTCTATGACAAATATGTTAGCATTAATTCTCATGTACCAATATCTGATTGAAATGATTTAAAAATGAGTCTCTAGAAGAGGGTGCTAGGTGCTGGGTGTTGGGTGTTTGAAATTTCAAGTGGAAAGAAAAGGAAAGCCCCTGGAGTATTGACTAGTGCCTTTGGGAATCCACACATAGTGAAAATACTCGACCTACAATCAGATATTTTTGGGTTGTATTTTTTTGAGAGGGGAGACTTTCAAGTAGCCTTGATGGAAATAATACCAGGAAAAGTACAATTTCATCTAGCATGGGATAGACCACAGTGAGTTAACCGAGATTTTTCTGGTAGAAATAACATGTTTCACAGCCTGACATGTTTTGCCTCAGATTACGTCTCAGATTAATACTCTCTTGCTGGGGAGACACCTCTTATCAACAAGAGTGCCTGAACGAAGCATATTTGTATACCTAACCCTTAACTGTGCCCCACAATATCATAATAAAAATGTTGATTAAAAATAAAATAAAATAAAAGCCTAAATAGAACAACAACAACAAAACTCTTTTGCTTTTTATACTGGGGAGTCTTTGGAAGTTTCTGTCTCTTCTTGGTCAGTGATACCTAAGAATTACCAGTCAGGATCTGTTTTGAAGTTACCTCATATCCTTATTTATTTGACAGTATTACAAAGTATCTAAACTGCATAATATTTCAGAGCAATAAAAATGTTTGACTTTTTAAAGAACAAAACTCCCACTTTTTCCTCCTTTCTAGACATGCAGGCCCGTTTATTATATGTCAATAGATATTTAAGAACAAGAGTTTTTGGAGTGGGAGAGAGGGACCTTTATCTGTTTTCTTTAAGAGCTTCTTAATTTTGGCTTCCGCTTTGATTCTCAATCATATTGGTAGATGCCAAGAACTAACTCTGAGATAATTGTGGACTAGATGCAGTGGAGCTTCTGGTAAAGTAGCACATCCAAATCCCAAGCAACAGATGTTCATTAAAAACCCGTCCCAAGAATTTGAAAAGGCATTTTGAGAAACTAAAGTGCTACTGTAATGCATCAAGTGATAGAAAAAAATTAGCTTTTTCAAAAAAATTAAAAAATATCTTAAATACTTTTGAATACCATCAATCAGAAGGCCTACATTTCCCATCCTTTATTTGATCAAAGAGCCATTCCTCAAGAACATCTTGCCATTCTGCCCTCATAACCTTGAATTCATTGACTGCTGACACTAATTTAACACTGTAGGTTGTGGACTCTCAGCAGATAATGCCCTTGAATATCTGAACCAGGATAGGGTTTGAAACGCAACCCTTCAATTTAGGGATGTCACCTCTAACAAGAGAAATTCCAGTCCCGTGCCATCCCTTTCTCTATTTTTCTGTGGAGAGAGATCATTATTAAAATGTGATTTTTGGTTTTCTGAATACCTTCTGCATCCCGGGCAAGCTCCTTAATGAATTCTCCTAAGGACTTTGCTCTTGTGTTGGTCCTCTCAGCATCCTGTCCAGTCTGCTCGCCATCTGCTGTCACTTTGGTAGCCTAATGATCCAAAATCGGGAAAAGCATAATTAATAGAGATGATGAAGCTACAGCGAGATCAGCTCCCACTGGTTACATTTTCTTTCAAATATTACTTTGAGCCAAAGGCAATCAATGAATTATTGATCAGATGTACTGGAAATGACGCCCCGCGCCCAAGTATACAATTAAACTTTATTACTTCTTCCATTAAATAGAAATCAGAGAGCTGTTTTTGGTCTCTTAAAAAACCCTCGTTATATGCAATGGCACAGAAGACACTATAAGGCACAATTATTTTTGAAATATCTTTAAGGTATTGTTGCCAAAAGTCTTTAATGGAATCTTCAGCTTCCACATGTTGTAGTTTTGTCCATATTTTATTTACCGAGAAAGTGTGGAGTGCAGCAATGATCTCTCGAGGGAGGAACAGGCAGTCTGTCTCAATAAGCCTGATTCTATAGATTCGGTTTAGATCAATACGTTAATTAAAGAAACAAAGGGGGGAAATGCTTAGCTACTCAGTACTAAATGCTTGTTTTATAACACTTTAAGATGCCAGTAAAACATTAAGGGAGAATAAATGTTAACTTTTCCCATATGACAGCACCAGAAATATGGCTGTTAATCACAGAGTCATACACCATTGTCAACCAAGTAAAACAGAACCCCAATCAACCTTACTTCCCAAAAAGGATTCTCTTACACAGTCACCTTTATTCACATTTAAAATACCATTTGACACAGTGGAATGCATTTAATGTGTTCATAGTTAAGGTATATTTAGTCAAATAAAAACTGTGTGTATCACGTTAAATGTTTCTTTAAAAGATACAAGGTTTAGAGTACCTTGAAATAGGTTTACGTTTCATTTTCTCTATGTGCGCATATGCTAAGAAATATACCTTCTTCTCTTTTACTAAAAAGATACAAATCGTCTAACTACAGATAATGAATCAGAGAATCACAAACTCTCTAAATATAATTTGGAATAAGGTCCAAGTTGGCAGCAATCTTGTACCAGAGTGCTTGCATACTAGGCATGGCCAGAGAATTAATTTTTAAAATATACATAAGTGGATTTTAAATAGAACTAAATGTCTGGCCAGCACAGAACATGGTGAAAGATGCTAGAGGAATTTTACTGCATTTTGTGATTTCCCAAGGGCAGTGAGAGGCTTAATTCACGGAAGTTTTCAAGGTTTTGCACAAAGGGTAGAAGATAAAGTACAACTATTCACATCTAACTTCTCAACCTGCAAGTGTTAACACCATAAATAAAAGAAGGAAAGAAGAATCCACTGGAAATTTTACAAATTTTTCTGCATGGTTCGCAGTACATATACACAAAGAATTGGAGAGTATTAACCAATGCATTATAGTGTTCTAGATATACCCTTCTAAAATATTACTAAGGGAATTATTTTCCACTTTAGATTAAAACATTATTTTTTGAAATAAATCATGGTGCATGCAATCTCCGCATTACTCAATTCCCTGCTTTTGTGGTCGGTGTTACAATTATGGCCCATTAATTTCCTTAAACTTGGTTCTCTGTTCATGTTTGCATTCGAGGCTCAGATGGGTCAAATAACTTTTTATCCACATACATATCCACATACTCACACATATAATATTTTTAGTGTTACTTTTGAATCAATAAGGTCACCTGCTAAAGATGTTGGCAGTCTAAACTGCTTTAGAGATTTTTCTAGTTTGCACCAGACTGTACTATGATACCAGTCCTATTTTCACATATCACAGAACTAATAAGAAACTCGAGCTACATTGTGGTCATCTTCCAAGATCTTAAGAATTAATCTCTCCACAATACCGATATCTCTCTATACAGAAAAGATACATTACAATTTGAACTTAAAATTTAGTTTTTGCTTTATCAAAATTCTGTTTCCAATAGGCCACAATTTACATAGGTGTTCACACACTCAAGTGTACATATTCTTATTAATAACTCAAAGCATCTAATTAAAAAAAATAAATATATATTGATTAACTGTTTCTCTTAAATTCTGGATGATCAAGATCGGATTCACTGTCTTGGCTTCTTTTACTCGCCTATTGCATTTATGCAGGTATTGTGTAAGAGTCATCGTTAATAAACTTTTTATTCTTTGTGCTGATTACATGAGTACGATAATAAAATGGGTCTTAAACGTTATCACTAAGACCCTATGCAAACAACCTTCCTTGCTTCCTTTTAGTATGTTAAATATGCCAGGCTCTTCTTTTCTTAGGGCCTTCTTGTATCCTGCTGTCTTTAACCAGAACGAGCTTCTTCTCAGCACTTTCAGAGACTGGATCCTTGCCAATCATCGGCTTTCAGTGTAAGTGTTCCTTCTTGGTGTTACCATTCCCAGAGTACCTAGCTAAGGTTTCTGTACTTCCTGCAGCAGAACGTTTCCTTCATGGCACCACGTATTTTAGAATTACTTACTTAATTGTAATACATAATAAACCTACCCATTTATTGACTACCTTCCCAACTAAAAGGTCAACTCTAAGAGAGTGAGAACTTGGTCTGTTCTATGACATTATAAACAGCTCCTAGTATGATGCTTAACTTATAGCAAATATTCTCTTAATGTTGTTATGTACATGGCTAAACAACAATTTTCCTAAGCCGTACTGTCAGCCTTATTACTGTTCTTCTTGCCTATCTGCTTTTGAACATTCCCTGAATAAGATTTTGCTCACATTAGCACTGGTTAACTCCTCCGAATTTTGGAAAACTATCCACAAGAAGTGCAGCCTTCGACATTCAGTTCCAAGCCCATCTTCTCTGCAATGCCATCCCTGCCTTTTCTAGCACATGCTTGCCTTTCTTAGATTTTCAAAAACAAAGATTCTCACCTCCATCCATGACTACAATGGGAAATTACTTTGTTAGGTGTTTTGCCATATCTATCTAATCTCCCTCCTCGGGGACTAGGGCTCTTCTTACCTCTTGTCCTTCCTCAGAGTGCCAGGCTTAGTTAGTGCCTGGCCAATTGTAGTGGGTCAAAGATGTTGGGTGATAGAATGCTAGTCAACCTTTCCTTTGAAGTTCTCAAGCCTGTTGGAGGATTCCCAATACCATTCAAACTGACCATATGTCTGGTGCGATGCTTGCCAGCAAATGAAGATGGCTAGGCAGTGTTCTGGGCACTTTTCAGAACCTCATAGGAAACTGCAGCTCAAGAGATGCAGTCGAGTGCTTGGGAGAAGAGCCAGGCACGAGGCCCTCCGGTCCGACTAAACTTCATTCTAGCCACTGGTCTCGTGGTAATTCAAATCGGGCCTTTGATCACATGCCAAATTCCTTGCTGGTGGGCCATGAGAGGGGAGGCAGGAGGTGAACAGAGCTCTTCGGGGCTAGCACAAAGTTTCCTGAAGAAGACAGCTTTCCCTCTGCACACACAAGCACTTCCTCTCTTGGATGCACTGCAGGATAGGGGATGAGGCTCCTGGCACACAAAGCATTGACTTACGCAGGCTAGAACTCTAAAAGATGAGTTACACAGTGGGGCTCAGCTGTATTCCGGATTTATATGCATGTTTGGAAGGGCTTACAGCACTCTCTTGTGTCTCATTTACTCTTCCTGCGTTTACAGATACAGAGAAAGCATGATCTGTTTTTTACACGAGTGAAAATGAAGGTATGGACGGGTTAAATGACTTATCTGAACCTACGCATATAAAGAACTGAAGACAAAACACACTTTCTTTTGTCTCACAGCTTTATATATTTTTTTTCTGAACCAAGCACTATTTTATGCTTGGCTAACATCCAGAACGACTAGAAAAAGACATGAAAAAATTGAGCCTTCAGGGTAGGAGGACATGGCTCCAGCTTATATAGTATTTTAAACGTGTAAGTTTTGGCTTTTAGGAAATAAGTGTATTTCCCAAAATCTCTATCAAAATCATCTTGATATATTTTTTAAAAATCATGTCTCATTACATAGTAATTAAGTAGAAGTCACCCTTGTAAAAATCTTCCCATGAGAGATCCCATAAAAGAAGCCCATGACAGATGTACCAACACCCATGGGTACTGGTGATAGACAACGGTGTCATCGTGAACACAAAATTCACAAAAATCAATTTCACTCAGGACAGGTTGTTGATAATGTTACAGATGAATGCTAAATACTACATGATAGAAGCTATCCGTCTGATTCAGTTTGGCTCTTTCTGTGTTTTATTAAATTACCCTCCCCGTCTCTTAGTCATCCTCCCTCTTATTCATTATTATCTTGTCCTTTGAGTATTTGCAAATACCTTCTCATTTTCTCATTTGCCCTAATATGTTGTATAGTCTCCCTTTCGTTTTCTTTGATTTCTTACTTTTACATCCTCTTATCTCTATTCTGCAATCTTTCAGTGTTCCTTTGAAAATAAGGTCTCACACAATATCTTGTATGTATGTCCCTTATCTTTGATTATCTTTTTTATCTATTTTTTTACATTCAAATTCACTCAACTAGATTTTTCTTCTTTTCTTTTTGGTTTTGTTTTATAGGGTATTTATATCTAGGCACCATGCATTACCATTAAGCACACATTAACTTACTTCTGAATAATGTAGCTGTTACTTTCTGGCTTTAGGTCAAGCAGTTCTCTCTGTGCCTCTTAAAATCTGTACATAATTTTCTTGGTTGGCTATTACTAGTGTCTTTCATTTTCTGCCTTCTTTCTGTTAAAACTTGAATCTAATGGAGTACATCTAACTGTTGAATAGATAACATTGCTTAGATACCATCAACCTTTGCAGACTCATATAGTTTCCTGCAAAAATTAAATTTCAGATTTAATTATTTATGTGATATTCTCGAGGGTCATCTTCTAACATGACCAGGTCTCTATTTCTAAGTAGCAGTGAAGTATTCCTCAGGCAAACTGTTAGGACCAACAACACATACGAATAGAGATAGAGAGCAGTCAACTGACTCTGTAGAATCATAATGAACCAGGTCCATGTGGAATTCCTTCCTTAAATGTTTCAAATGTCAATTTTAAAA